TATTGCTATGCGCGGCCATGATCTTCCTCCGCCAGGATGGGGTCTCCAGGCGGTGGGAATGTGGCCAAACCATACGGCCATGCGCAACATTGCCGGGCAGCCTGTGCTCGGCAACGAGCCCGAGCCGACAACGGCGCCTCCTGCCCCGGGGCAGCCGAGCGACGCACAGACGCCGGCTATGCAGGGAAACCTGCCTGTACCAGATACGCCAATGGCCATCATTATCGGTAGTTCGACATCAGAAGAAGTAGAAGGCGATGGTTGCGGGTTAGATGAGGATGACGTCACCATCCTCATGATGGACGTGAATGGTGAGGAAGAGGTTGACTTCGATCCTGACGAGTCTGAATCATCATCACCATCGGCACAAGCGCCATTTGCGCCGAGCTCCATCCAGCAGGGAGACTTGCCTCCATCGGACGATCCATCTGGGATCGCACAGGAGCCTCCTCTGGCACCTCGACCGGGTGCCGCTCCTGCTGCTTCGGCAGCTTCTTCTGATGAGAACACCAGAAGGTCTCGTTCCCATACGCGCGTCAGAGAAGAGCCACATCCACAGGCTCGACTTCCTCGTGAGTGGAGGCAGGCTGGCCCAAAAGAACACGCTCTCAGGAGAGGAGGCCAGCTACTTCCGTATAACGACCCAAGACACCGAAAAGGGAAACACTCGGCCTTCGGCAAGGGCAACCCTGCCTATAGGGACAGTGAGGGCAAGGCCATCCGCGGAGGCTATCAGCTTGCAACAAATATCCGCCGCCCTGAAATTCAAGAAGCGCGGACTCAGCTGCGAGACATTATCGCGGCTCGCAAGCAGTATAGGCCTCACGCAGCTTGTGGACCTTGTTCCGAACCGTTCCAGAACCACAGGCCAGGATGCCCCGTTGGCAACAACGAAGGCCGGAGCCCCAACAGGGGCAGAACCCTTCATAAAGAGGGCCATCCGCAACTTATCCCAATGACACAGGACGAGATCGCAGAAGTGAATCACCGTCTCGGGATCTTGATCCATTTGGATCCGAAAGCCGAAGAGGATAAACCTCCCACGGCTCCAAGGGGACTGGTGCCCATGACCCGGGAAGAAAAAGACGCGCTCTTTAGTCTTCCTGGAATGCGAGGAAACTCGCCTGGCGTTTCTAGCCAGACCCAACAGCCTGAACCGACAATCAAGGATGAGAAAAAGGCTCAACGTGTGGCGGAGGACGAGGAGCGCATGCGGACAGCAGAAGAACGCACACGCGAGGCAACTCGCAAGATGTTGGAGGATTCCAGCAAGATATACATGAAGGGGGCTACGAAGCCCCCACTCCCACTAACTTCGAAGGCTAAGAGTGAACCCCCGACACCTAAGACGTCCTCGGGGCCGAAACCGAAGGTGAGCTCTCAGGACCCTGGGCCAGACGTGCAGATGGAGGTGCCTCGAACTGAACTTCCGAGGCCGCCGATTGGCGCAACTCCTACACAAGCGTCTGAGCCCAAGCAGCAACCTCAGGACCCTGTGGAGGAACGAAGACGCCCGCCTAGTCGCAGCAGCTCCAGTGCGAAAAGGGCGGCAGCTTTCGAGCGCAGTGGGTATGCCCCTGCGCCAGCTTCGCCTGTGGCGGCCCGTTCCAGGAGGTCCGATGAAGGTGCTATGTCGAGGGGCACCTGGGTGCCGAAGATCAGGGGCAGCGCCAGTCGCGCATCACCGCGGGGAAACCCGCCAGGCGCTGCCGCTGCAGCTTCATCCTCTTCAGGAGCCGCAGCCTCTTCAGCAACAGAGGTCCCTGTGCGGGGAAACCCGCCCGTGGTTCAGCTGCACCACCCAGGTGACACGTCCTTCACTAGTGGGACTCCGAACGTGATCAGGGATAGACTTGCGCTTCGGAAGATCCCACCGATACGCTCGGTGGATGAGACATTCATGAAGGAATGCAGGAAAGCTGGAATCCTTCCCACATCCAATGATATTTTCAAACAGCTGAGTAAAGCTCTCAGCAGGATATGCAGACATGCGCCAGACAGATCACACAATCCTGTGTGGGGCCTGGAATCTTTCGATGATCATGATGGTTGGGTTAACCTAGTGGAACTCGTGAACCATTATCCGTGGAACACAGGTCAATCAAAACACGCTGGGTATAATCCAAAATATGACGAGGCCAAAGTCATCAACGAGCAGCTATATGGGCGCTCGGTTGACCAAATGTCCGCGAAGCAGACGGAGAAGAAAAACAGCGCCTACAGTTCAAGGTGTTGATGCGGGACTCCGGCGAGCCCACTATCTTCATCCGCGCCTCTCAGGGGCATTCATGGACACTGAAAGCTCCATGGTCGCTGTACAGCTACATTGTGCTGTGCGACCAACCTGCCGGGAGGCCGGCCCCGTACCCCGAAGTGGCCATGCATGGCACTCGATGGCACGCCTTCGAAGGTATTATGTGGCACGGCCTGTCATGTAGACCTGAGCTTAACACGAAGAAAAGGTGGACAGGCCGGTCGCACATTCATTTCGTGCCGACAGTTCGCCGCCGTGCCGTGAACAGTGGGTGGGACCCAGACTCAGACATCATCATCTTCGTAGATTGGCGTAAGGCCATACAAGATGGTATGAAGTTCTGTTGGTCCGATGACGGAGTCCTCTTGTCTGAGGGAAATAACGGTATCATTGAACCGTATTACATCTCTCATGTAGAGGACCTGTCCACAGGAAGGCACTGGCGTAATCCAGAGTATCTGGGGAGCCGCCATGCGCGAGTCTCTGTCGCAATGATGTCTGCTCCTGACAGGTGGGCTGACGTTGGCACTGCTAGCGTCAAATATCAGTGGTCCCGAGACCAAGAGGGCGTCGACCCCCCCATGGTCTACCTCCACAGGGAAGTTGGGGACCACTATAGCCCTACCAAGCTGGGAAACCAGCCTGAGATCCATCGGATCTTCATGATCACCGAGAGTAAGGCCGGGAGCGCGGCTCCAAGCCGTGCCCCAAGCCAAGGGCCTAGTGCCGTGTCTTGGCAGGCCATCAGTACCTCGGACCTGGATCAGATCGCAGCCGCGCTGAACCCTGACCAGGTAGAACAGCTGGCGGACAGGTTATACCAGCAGGACCCCTGGGCCGCAGGCCAGGGGGCAATGTCCGCTGTGGCGACGAGAAATCGTCAGGCCATGCAGGGAAACCTGCCTACAAGCGGACCTGCTCGGTTTTAGCAAATGCATGGAAGCCCCACTCAGAGCATGCACACTCCAAGGGGCATGACTCCATTGGGCACACCACCTGCACAATCCCCGTTCGGGACACCTGTCCGCCCTGCCACAAACGGCACTCTCATGGAGAGGATAGCTGCGGCTAGGGCTGAGCACAGCACAGCCCTCCTCAACATGATGCCGCCCGGCACGCCAACAAGTCAGCAGGGAAACTTGCCCGGCACACCAAGCCACCACAGGGCTGGTGTACCTGACGACTATCGCTCAAGAGTGGCGGCCGCGGTGCAGCAGGTGCAGAGCCACAATCTGCCTCACCCAAGTGGGCAGAGGTGGAGGCCAGCCTGGTCCTGGGAACCTGAGGGTCCCAACCCACGGGATCCTGCTCGGCAACGAGCCTTTATCCCGGCGTTCAATGCCCATCCGAGCATGTCTCAGGGCCAGAGGCCACCACCAGCGCAGATGAACCCACCATTATACCCTGATGGGTCAAGGGTTCCGAACAAATTTGTTCGCGAATTGGCGGATCAGATGCATAACCTCTCTAATGTGCGCTGCAGTGACCATTCCATGTACCCGCACATGGCCTTCATGCCTTCACCGACATCACCAGAGGTGGTTGTCCAGCCCACTGCCCATTCAATACCGTCTGGCAGTAGGGGCGTGCCTGACTACATCAGGCAGACGCACCACACTCAGCAGGCATGCTTCAGGAGAAGGCAGGCGGTGCAAAGTGTACGGGATCAGTCACGTGCAGCTGCACTTGATGTGGTGAGAAACAGG